AGAGTCTGAGGTGAAAGGATCACTTGAACCCAGGAAGTCGAGGCTGCAGTGAGCCATGATGGTGCCACTGCACTCCAGCCTGGGTGACAGAGTGAAACCCTGTCTCTAAAAAAGATGGCAGGAGGGAATGAACATTTTTAATGTTTTAGTCTCCAGTACAGCCCTTTTAATTGAGTGATGATTTTCCATTTTATAGATAAACAGGGTCAGAAAGAGCAAGCAACTTCCCTGCAGTCACATAGTGACAAGCTGGACTTGTCTGACTAAAACCTGTGCTTTTGCTACTGTGCTCGTGGGTCTCTTGGACTTAGTGATGGGGATTTAAGGAGGAGAAAGGCAGGAGATAGAGCCAGGGTTCAGGATTTGGGACTGGGAAGGTGTTAATAAAGCGTTTGGCTCAGGGCCTCAAAGCCTTTGCTTGTGTGTGCATTTCTCACAGCCTCATATGCCCAGGCTGTTGGTGCTGGGGATTAGGCCTGGGGCTGCTGCTCCCTTTCAGAATTCTTGCCTGGCCTCAGAGGGGCCTGTATCTAGGAACCTCAGCAGAACCCTGCAAGGGCTGGCTGGGACCATTGGTGAGATATGCCATGCCCAGGAGGCATGGACGAATATATGTTCCTTTTCATTCCTGCAAGCATGTGGGCTGTGATGAGGAACGCGTTGGCAGTCTTTAGATGAACGCTGCTCCTTTGGAACTTGTTGGGTGTTAGCTTTCGGTGTGGCCTTAGGGAGCGGACTCTGGACTGCAGACATTGAACTAGAGGTTTCCCATTTGGAAATGAGGTCTTGGGACTGGATGATCTCTATGTTCTTTCTAATATTTCTTTTTTTTTTTTTTTTTTTTTTTTTGAGACGGAGTCTCACTCTGTCGCCCAGGCTGGAGTGCAGTGGCACAATCATGGCTCACTGCAGCCTTGACCTCCCAGGCTCAAACGATTTGTCTACCTCAGCCTCTTGTAAACAGCATTTTTATGGCTGTCTAATAACCCATCATGTGAATATGACTTAGACTGCCCAACCACAGCCTAATTTGGGGTTTTTATGTTTTCTTCTGTTCTTTGCCCATATAATGTGGCAGTGAATATATGTGGATAAAACACTCTTTCCACACTTTGGCTTATTTCATTTCAAGCTTCTAAAAGTGAGATTAATGAGTCAGAAGGCATGACTATAAGGCTTTTTGTCAAATCGATTTCCTAAAGGGCAATTCATTATACTTTTTCACCGGCATTGAGGTCAAGTGTCCTGGGAGTAGGAGTGTTGAAAATGTAGAAAGTCACTTCAGTTCTGGAATTTATCTTGCTTTGCTTTGTTTTGTTATACTTTTTTGTCCTCTCCTGATGCTCACTAGGGTCACACATTGCCTCTGGTTGTCATATGTCTTTCGTCTCTTTCAATCTAGAGCAGGGGTTCTCAATTAGGGAGTGGGCATTGTCTCCTAGAGGACATTTGGAAATGTCTGGAGATAGTTTTGATTGTCACAACCAAGGGGGTGGCTATTGGCATCTAGTGATTAGAGGCCAAGCATGCTGCTAAACTTCTCACAGTACACAGGGTGTTCCCTTGCAGCATAAACGTATCTGGCCCAAGACGTAAGCAGCTGAAAAGCCCCGATCTAGAACAGTCCTTTCACTTCCAGCCTGGGCGACAGAGTGAGACTCCATCTCAAAAAAAGTAAAATAAAATTGAAGTCAAAGTCATATAACATAGAATTAACCATTTTAAAGTATAAAATTTACTGCCTTTGGCCAGGCATGGTGGCTTATGCCTGTAATCCTAGCACTTTGGGAGGCCAAGGAGGGCAGATCACGAGGTCAGGAGATCGAGACCATCCTGGCTAACACGGTGAAACCCCGTCTCTACTAAAAATACAAAAAATTAGCCGGACGTGGTGGTGCGCGCCTGTAGTCCCAGCTACTCAGAGGCTGAGGCAGGAGAATGGCGTGAACCGGGGAGGCGGAGCTTGCAGCGAGCCGAGATCGCGCCACTGCACTCCAGCCTGGGCGACAAAGTGAGAGTCCGTCTCAAAAAAAAAATTCACTGCCTTTCAGTATATTCACAGTTTTGTGCAGTTACCATTTCTTTCTAGTTTCAAAACTTCTCATTACCCCAGAAGAACACCCTGCACCCATTAAGTAGTTTCCCCATGCCCCCTTCCCCCAACCCCTGGCAACCACTCATCTCCATTCTCTTTCTGTGGATGTTTGCCTACTCTGGACATTTCATATAAATGGAATCATATAACATGTGGGCTTTTGTATCGGGCTTCTTTCTCTGAGCATGTTTTGAGGTTCATCCATGGGATAGCACGTGTCAGTACTTCATTGCTTTTGATGGCTGGATAATATTTCATTGTCAGCATTTGATAGGAATTTGGGTTGTTTCCACTTTTAGCTATGCTGCTCCGTACATTCATGTATGAGTTTCTGTGTGGATAGATGGTTCATTTCTCATGGTCTATACCTGGGATCAGAATTGCTGGATCTTTTGATGTATGTTTAACTTTTTGAGGAACTGCCAGCCTTTTCTCACAGCAGCTGCACCATTTTATATTCCTACCAGTAATGTACAAAGGTTCCAGTTTCTCCACATCCTCATCAACACTTATTTTCTACTTTTTTATTGTAGTCAGCCCAGTGGGCATAAAGTGGCATCTCATTATGATTTTGATAAACATTTCCCTAATGACTACTGACTTCATTTGTATATCTTCTTTGGAGAAATATCTATTGAAATCCTTTGCCCGTTTTTGAACTAGGTTTGTCTTTTTATTGTTGAATTATAAAAGTTCTTTATATATTTTGCCATATATATAAGTGTATATATATATAATTTTTTATTTTTTTATTTTTATTTTTTTGAGACAGGGCCTTGCTCTCTCACCCAGGCTGGAGTGCAGTGGTGCAGTTGTGGCTCACTGGAGCCTTAACCTCCCGAGTTCAAGTGATCCTCTCACCTCAGCGCCCCCAAGTAGCTGGGACTACTGGCATGCACCACCATGACTTGCTAACTTTTGTATTTTTTGTAGAGACAGGGTTTCGCCATGTTGCTGAGGCTGGTCTCAAACTTCTGAGCTCAGGCAGGCAATCTGTCCGCCTCAGCCTCCCAAAGTGCTGGAATTACAGGCGTGAGCCACCATGCCCAGCCTACTTTATATATTTTGGACACTAGACTCTTACCGGATACATGATATGCAAATATTTTCTGCCATTCTATAGGTTATTTACTTTTTTATGTTTATTTATTTATTTATTTTGAGATGGTGTCTTGCTCTGTTGCTCAGGCTGAAATTCAATGGCACAGCTCCTCTCACTGCAACCTCCACCTCCTGGTTTTAAGCGATTCTCCTGCCTCAGCCTCCCAGGTAGCTGGGATTACAGGTATTACTGCTGCACCACTGCCATCCACCATGATACTGGATATGCTAGCAAGGGTAATTAGGCAAGAAAACAAAATGAAAGGCATCCAGATCAGAAAGGAAAAGTAAAACTATCTCTATTAGCAGATGACATGATCCTACCAGGTGCGCCACCATGCCTGGCTAATTTTTGTATTTTTAGTAGAGACAGGGGTTTCACCATGTCAGCCAGGCTGGTCTCAAACTCTTGACCTCGTGATCTGCCCACCTGGGCCTCCCAAAGTGCTGGGATTGTAGCCATGAGCCACTGCGCCCAGACCTCTTTTTTATTTATTTTTTATTGAGACAGGACCTCACTGTGTCACTCAGGCTGGAGTGCAATAGCATGATCATTGCTAAGGGCAGCCTTGGAACCTCCCAGGCTCAAGTGACCCTCTTGTCTCAGCCTTCTGAGTAGCTGTGACTACAGGTGCACACCACCATGCCTGGGTAATTAAAAAAAGAAATTTATAGAGATGGGGTCTCACTGTGTTGCCCAGGATGGTCTTGAACTCCTGAGCCCAAGCAATCCTGTCTCCTCAGCCTCCCAAAGTGCTGGAATTACAGGTGCGAGTCAACATGCCAAGCCGCAAAAGATTTTAATTTTGATTAAATCCAATTTATATTTTTGTTGCTTTTCGGTGTAATACCTAAGAATTCTATTTTCTTTCTTTCCTTTTTTTTTTTTTTTCTTTTTTATTTTTTTTGAGACAAGGTCTTGCCATGTTGCCCAGGCTGGGCTGCAGTGGCGTGATCTTGGCTCACTGCAACCCCCACCTCCCAGGCTCGAGTGATCCTCCCACTTCAGCCCTCCGAGTAGCTGGGACTACAGGCATGTGCCACCACCAAACCTGGCTAGTTTCTGTATTTTTTTTGTAGAGATGGTGTTTCACTGTGTTGCCCAGGCTGGTCTCAAACTCCTGGGCTCAAGAGATCCACCCAGCTCGGCCTCCCAAAGTGCTGGGATTACAGGTGTGAGCCACCGCTCCTGGCCAAGAATCCTATTTTCTTAAATTTCTTTCAGTGATGATTTGTAGTTTTCACAAGTCCTTGGTTAAATTTATTCCTAGTATTTTATTCTTTTGCCTCCTTTTGTAAATAGAATTGCTTTCTTAATTCCCTCTTTTGATTGTTCAGTGCTGCTGTGTGGCAACTGATTTTGTCTGTTGATTTGTGCTTGGCAACTTGACTGAATTCGTATTTTAACTTTGGTGGGTGTATTTGTGGATTCTTGGGGATTTTCAGTAGGTAGGATCATGTCATCTGCTAATAGAGATGGTTTTACTTTTTGTTTCTGATCTGGATGCCTTTCATTTTGTTTTCTTGCCTAATTACCCTTGCTAGCATATCCAGTATCACGGTGGATGGCAGTGGTGCAGCAGGCATCCTTGTCTTGTTCCTGATCTTAGGGGAAAGCTTTTGACCTTGGGCCATAAAGTGTCAAGTCAGCTGTGGGTTTTTGTAGTTGCCCTTTATCAGATTGAGGAAATTCCCTTCTACTCCTAGTTGGTTGAATGTTTTTATCTTGAGATATTAACGTATTTAAAATTTTGTTTTACTTTTAATATAAAAACTTTGGTGTGTGTGTGTTTTTTCCAACTAGTGCTGATTCCTAAAGAAAAGCCCCCAATCACAGTTGTGGGTGATGTTGGAGGAAGGATTGCCATCATCGTGGTATGTAGACCTCTTTTATTATTAATTCTAGTATTTGCCGTTGTTATTCTGTTGATTGATTGATGACTTGATTGATTGATTTTGTGAGTCTTGCTGTCACCCAGGCTGGATTGCAGTGGTGTGTTCTCGGCTCACTGCAACTTCTGCCTCCCAGGTTCAAACGATTCTCTTACCTCAGCCTCCCAAGTAGCTGGAATTACAGGTGCCTGCCACCATGCTTGGCTAATTTTTGTATTTTTAGTAGAGATAGGGTTTCACCATGTTGGACAGGCTGGTCTCGAGCTCCTGACCTCGTGATCCGCCCGCCTTGGCCTCCCAAAGTGCTGGGATTACAGGCGCGAGCCACTGCACCCGGCCGCCACTGCATTTTAAAAAAAAAAAAAAAAAAACTTTTTATTTTGAAGTAATTATAGATCCACAGGAAGTATGGGGAAATACACAGGGACCTCCTGTGTATTCATTGCCCAGCATCCTCCATCTTGGTTAACTATGGTACAATAACACAGCCTGGAAATTCTCAGTGCCACAGCCACAGAGGTCCTTCAGACAGCACCAGTTGTGCATGCAGTGTATATGTGTGTGTCTGTGTGTGTGTGTGTGTGTGTGTGCAGTCTTATCATGGGTAGCTTTGTGGAACCACCACCACAGTCAGGACACAGAATTGCTCCTTCACTGCAGGGCACCCTCATGCTTCCCTTCATAGCTACACCCACATCCTTCCCACCCAATCTGCAACCCCTGGTGTCTTTGTCCATTTTGTGCTGCTGTAACATGTAAGACTAGGTTGTTTATACAGAATAGAAGAAATTTATTCTCTAACAGCTCTAGAGGCTGGATGTCCAAATCATGGCACCAGCATTTGGTCTGGTGAGGGCCTTCTTGCTGCGTCCTCACATGGCAGAAGGCAGAAGGACAAAAAGGAATGAACTTGTCTTCAGAAGGGCAGGAAAGAGGCGAACCCACTCCCACAAGCCTTTTTATAGCAACATGAATCCATTCCTCACGGCAGAGCCCTCACAACCTGAACACTTCCCCAAAGACCCCACCTCCCAACACTGTTGCACTGGGGAATAAGTTTCCAACACATGAATTTTGGAGAGACAAAAACACTTCAAGCCATAGCACTGGCAACCCATGATCTGTCCTCTGTATTTCTAATTATTATTTCAAGAATGTCATATAAATGGAATCTATGGTTTATAACCTTTTGAGTTTTGGTTAACCTGCCATGATTACCCTGAGATCCATCCAGTTTGTTTTGTATATAAATATTTTATTCCTTCTTATTGCTGGGCAGTATCCCATGGCATACAGGTACCAGAGTTTATTTGTTGAAGGACATTTGGATGATTTTCAGGTTGGAGCTATTATACATAAAACTCACTATGTACATTCATGTATGGGTTTTTGTGTGAACAGAGTTTTGATTTCTCTGGGGTAATTGCACTTATAAATGCAGTTGTTGGTTTGCATGGTAGTTGCAAATATAGTCTTATAAGAGACTGTCAAACTATTTGCCAAGGTGGCTGTACCATTTTACTAGTAGTACTTTTTAAGTAGTGTGTGTGTGTGTGTGTGTGTGTGTGTGTGTGTGTGTGTGTGTGTATTTTTGAGGGGCTATGGTCTGGGTCTGCTGCCCAGGTTGGAGTGCAGTGGCTTGATCACAGCTCACTGCAACTTCCACCCCATGGGCTCAAGCAATCCTCCTGCCTCAGCCTCCCAAGTAGCTAGGACTACAGGTACGTACCACCATGCCTGGCTAGTTTTTGTTTTTGTAGAGACTGGGTTTCGCCATGTTGCTCAGGCTGGTCTTGAACGCTTGAGCTCAAGCAGTCCTCCCACCTCAGCCTCCCAAAGTGCTGAGACTACAGGTGTGAGCCACCACGCCTAGCCTTTATATGTATATTTTTGATCATAGTAACTTCAGTATGCAATAAAAGAGTAGAAACCACTGAACTGGGTATTTTATTATTAAAAACAATAATCATTATTATTTTTTCCATTATAATAACATGTAAAAAACATATTTCCCATATGCTCAGTGGAGAAAATTTAGAAATAAGGAAGGTAGCAAGAAGCAGCAAGGGGAAAGAGGCAACCATAATTCTATTACCCAGAGTTGAAAACATCTTTTAACACTTTTTCTGTGCATTAAAAACAAAAAAAGAAAATCATACCTCCATCATTTCTGGTGCGATCTGCATTGTGGCAGCACAGTGTTGGCCAGTTATGGTGCAGAAAGCAGTGCTACCCCTGGGAGCCTGGAGTGTGGTGGGAGATAGCCCGAATAGTGAGTGGCAGGTGCTGTGCAGGAGGAGGCTCGTGTGAAAGTCCTGGAGGGATGCCATGGGGCACGGTGATGGGGACGTGGGGCCGTGCTGTCTGCACAAGGCCAAATGGAAGAGCAGATTTTTCGCAATAAATGTAGGCAGACCCTTTTTTTCCCCTGGTTGTCTAACCTATTATTGTAGAAGTGCTCATATACATTCTTTTCCATCTGTGCTTTGACAGGATGACATCATTGATGACGTCGACAGCTTTCTTGCTGCAGCAGAGACCCTGAAGGAAAGAGGTGCATATAAGATCTTTGTGATGGCAACTCATGGCTTGTTGTCTTCTGACGCCCCCCGGCTGATTGAAGAGTCTGCCATTGATGAGGTAACAGGGTCTGGGTGTGTTCGTGAGGACAGCTGCCTGGGCTTCTGGCACATCATGATCTTTAGTTACAGAGAGTAGGAACAAGACTGAGATTGTGGTTAAGAAAGTAATCAAGGGCTGGGCATGGTGGATTATGCCTGTAATCCCAGCACTTTGGGAGGCTGAGACAGGCAGATTACCTGAGGTCAGGAGCTGGAGACCAGCCAACAGGGGGAAATCCCCTCTGTACTAAAAATACAAAAATTAGCCTTGCATGGTGGCGGGCACCTGTAGTCCCAGCTACTTGGGAGGCTGAGGCAAGAGAATCGCTTGAACCCAGGGGGCAGTGGCTACAGTGAGCCGAGATTGTGCCACTGCACTCTAGCCTGGACAACAGAATGAGACTCTGTCTCAAAGTAAGTAAGTAAGTAAGTAAATAAATAAATAAATAAATAAATAAATAAATAAAAGTAATGTGTACAACTCATTAGTTTTTAGAATGCTTGGAGTTGTGCAGTCATTACCATAGTTGATTTTGGAACATTTTCTTCTCCCTAGAAAGGAACGCCATACCCATTAGCAGTCACTTCACATTTTCTCTCACTGCCGTTAGTCCCTGGCAACCACTAATCTGCTTTCGTCGCTCTAGATTTGCCTGTTCTGGACATTTCTTATTAATGAGATTACACAATGTGTGGTCTTTTGTGCTGGCTTCCTTCACTCAACAGAATATTTTCAAGGTTCATCCATGTTGTAGCATGAATCAGTACTTCATTCCATTTTATGATCAAAGAACACTCTGTTACATGGATAGTCCACATTTTGTCTCTCTTTTCATATTTCATGTCGATAGAAATTTTTTCCGCTTTTTAACTTATGCATGGTGCTGCAGTAAACATTTGTGTACAGGTTTTTGTGTAGACATCTGTTTTCCCTTCTCTTGGATGCGTACCTAGGTTTAGTACTGCTGGGTCGTACAGTAACTTCATGTTGAAACTTTCGAGGAGCTACCAGACTGTTTTTCAAAGCAGCCGCACCATTTTACATTCCCACAGCAGTGAGTGGGGGGTTCCAGTTTCTCTGCCCTCCTCCAATACTTGTTATTATCTTTTTATGCCATACCTGTCCTAGTGGGTGTGAGGTTATCAAATCTTAACCTAAGAAACACAGGCCGGGCGCAGTGGCTCATGCTTGTAATCCCAGCACTTTGGGAGGCTGAGGCGGGTGGATCACGAGGTCAGGAGATCGAGACTATCCTGGCGAACATGGTGAAACCTTGTCTCTACTCAAAACACAAAAAAATTAGCTGGGCATGGTGGTGGGCGCCTGTAGTCCCAGCTACTTGGGAGGCTGAGGCAGGAGAATGGCATGAACCCGGGAGGCGGAGCTTGCAGTGAGCCGAGATGGCGTCACTGCACTCCAGCCTGGGTGACAGAGCGAGACTCCATCTAAAAAAAAAAATTGAAACATTGACTTGAGACATAGATCCACTGTTTTCCCGTCATGGCGGGCCTCAGATTTGAGAAGCTATCACATTTCCAGACTAAACCATGAAGCTACTTGGCTTTCTGATGCTCTGGTTTTTTTTCTCTTGCTTCACAGGTAGTGGTCACTAATACAATTCCACATGAAGTCCAGAAGCTCCAGTGCCCCAAGATTAAAACCGTGGATATCAGCATGATCCTTTCAGAGGCGATCCGTCGGATCCACAATGGGGAGTCCATGTCCTACCTTTTCAGAAACATAGGCTTAGATGACTGAACAGCTTTCCTTTAGGAAAACTCCCGAGGGCCAAACTGGAAACATAAGAGTGACTGCTTGGTGGGATAGATTTCACAGGAACCGTCATGTTTGTTCTTCCCTCTCCCCTGTAACCTCTCTTCTTGTTGATTCCTATGAAGATAGACCAACTTTTTATGTCGGTTTAGGTGTTCGTGAGTTTGGGGAGCCATTTTTATAAAAGAAAAACTTTATTCTCCTCTTTTGAAAAGGTAAGACCTTGTTTTAGTTTTAACTGTTTAAAAAATAACACTTGGAATAAGATTTATAAGCTCACAAAGTCTTTTTCTGAAGTTGCTTGAGCCAAGTGCTTAAAAAGTTAATAAAATAAAATGATCTGTATGATACCTGCAGTTGAAAAGCCAAAAAGATTATACTGTCAAGTCCAGTAAATGACATTTTTAGAGATGCTTTTGTAGACAAGCATATGGAATATGTGATTGTATTTATTTTCTGCAACTAAAAAAGGAATAAAAACTTGTGTTTGTGTGTTTTTCTAAAACTTTGTGTTTTGGCAATCGTTTTATAACTAAAATAAAATGAAAGCTGAATCTACACACTGTGAATGTTGAAATGTTTATCAGCTTGTTTTCTCTTCTGCAGCATTGTGCGGGGATGACAATTTGTCCAAGGCCCTGAAAGTTCCCGACGTGTAGTCATTTGACTGAGGAGGGAGAGGAGTTGGAATCTCAGGATGCAAGGCCGCAGGCAGCAGGGGAACCAGTGAGCACCATCTGCCATTGGTCTTGGTGTGGCTTTGCCTCTCTTCCACGGCTGGCTGTTCTCTGTCATGCTCTAGGGAGATGAGATGCTGGGAGATGCGTCCCAAAGGGCAAGTGACATGCCCTTGTTGCTATCAAGGGTCTAAATATCATCTGTCTTTAGCATTTAGGACCCTGAACTTCCCCACAGAGTCCATTGGACTCTCCTCCCCTGGAGCACTGGCACTGGGGTTTACACCCACCTGTCCTCCCACTCAGCCTGACTTACGAAGGAAAATGTAGACTTGCTCATAAAAACTAATTTTTCTTCCTCCCCAAACACCTTAAACCTTTGCTTTCTGCTTTTCTTGTTAGAATCTGGAATAAAATAGTAGTTTATTTAGCACAAAATTAAGATCAGTCACCAGCCATGCTGGCCTTCCCTGTGCTCCACAGAGAGCAGCATGGCCCGTGGGCTTGCCCCAGTAGGCCAGGGCCTTGTTTGTGCAGAAGCACCAAGGGCTTTGCTTCTGGAAGCTGCCCAAGTATTCCATGGGCTCCTGCACCCCCAGCAGTGCCACCTTCACACCTAGTTTACTTCTGAGGAAACAGCTTTGGGGGAAAGGTGTTCTCTCCCCACGTTTTCAAGTCCAGTTAATGATAGAGCTATTTACTTTGAAAAAGTGTCCTTGCTTTCTGTGAACCTGTTCCTAGAAATGGGGCCTCTCGATCTTCGGAATGAATTGGCTTAGGCCATGGGATGGGAGCTGGCGGCTTCTTTGCCAGGGCAGCTCTGTCCGTTGCAGGCTGGAGACCACCCGGTTTCTACATTTGGAAGAAGAGCTTTGGGAGCAAGGTGTCACCGCCCATGAGATTGGAGCCTGCCTGTGGTGCCGGGACCTCCCACTGTTGCTGTGAAATGAGCTGAAGAGGCTTCAGTAAGTCTCACAGCTCCAGCCTCTGCTGGGTTTGGGTTTTTTCCTACCTTCTGCTCTTTGGATGCTATCTAACCATTTGCTACTATAGATGACGATTGAAGTTTGACATGTGGTTTGGCTTTATACCAAGTGACAGGCACTTCCTGAACAGCCATGGGGCGTCCCCTGGGGTGGCTGTGCTGACACAGTGGCCCTCCATGGTTTGGGAATGGTGGTGCTGCACTAGCAGGGAGGACGGGTTCTGCTCTGGGTTCCTGGGAGATGCAGTGGACTCTCAAGCTCCTTCAGTGGGAGGTTTCCTCCTGCCACTGTGTCCAGGGAACTTTGACCTCCGTGGTTTTTCCTGGCATGTCATCCTTCATGAAGAAAAGTCATATTTACAGAAGTGAATGGAAACATGTTTTATGGGAGTGTTTTCTTCTGGGTAATGAACTTGGCTAAAGCTAGGATCCTTCACACCCACAGAGACTCGAGGGTCTGCTCTGAGTTGGCTCTGGAAGAACGTGAAGATGAGTGCCGGGAGGAGCCACGGGCGGGGCGTGTGCCAGGGGATGGCTGACAGAGGGCTGAGGCCAGGAAAGACAATTGGCAGATGATGGTGGGGGAGAGTGGAGTGCCACGTCCTGGCCTGCCGGGCTGGGGCAGGAGGATGGAGGCCCTCAAGGGGCAAGTCAGGTGCCCAGTAAGGACACCCAGACCTCTCAGCCACCCCCTTCCCTGTCTAGAGGAGGCCCTGGATACAGTTTCTCCATGTATTGTAGGCTTTTCTTTGGCCAAAGAAGCCATTTACCCTCTAGACTACTGTCTTTGCTAAAGACAGAGACAGTCTCTGTGGCCAGAGATAATAGTGAAGTGAACCCAGAAATTCTATGACAGAAAACAGGCTAATCGTTTCCAGTTCTGACTGTGACGTCATCGCTTGACAGATGTGATTAGAGCAATGCTTTCGAGGCATCAAGAGCACACAGGATGCCACCAAAGGGCATGAGTGGATGGACAAATACCAGTTCCACCACACTGGCACATTAATCTTTTGGCTCTCGCTGTTTATTACCTCTAAGGCTGAGGAGGGAGGATTGCTTGAACCCGGGAGGTGGAGGTTGCAATGAGTCGAGATCATGCCACTGCACTCCAACCTGGGCAACAGAGCAAGACCCCATCTCAAAAAAAAGTTGTAGAATTCAACACCTACTTTTAACAGATCAACCAGACAAAAGATCAATAAGGAAAGAGATCACACCACTGTACTCCATGCTGGTGACAGAGTGAGACTGTCTCAAGAAAAAAAAAAAGGCTGAAATGCTAAATTTTATGTTGTACATATTGTGTACTTTATAAAACATTGTTGGAAGAAATTAAAGACGACTTAAATAGGAAGACATCCCACGATCACGGGTTGGAAGTCTTAATATCATTAAGATGCAATACTCCAAAGCAATCTATAGATTCAGTGTAATATCTATCAAAATCCCCAATGGCATTTTTTGGCAGCTATAGAAAAGCCCATCCTAAAATTCATTCGGAATCACCGAGGACCTCAAATAGCCAAATGAGTTTGAAAAAGAACGAAGTTTGAGGACTTGCACTTCTTGATTTTAGAACTTACTACAAAGCTATACTAATCAAAAACAGTGTAGTTCTGGCATAAGGAGAGGAATATAAGTCAATGGAGTAGAATCAAGAGTTCAGAAATAAACATTTTATCTCTAGTTAATTGATTTTCGACAAAGTTGCCAAGATCTCTCAGCAGGAAAAAGAATGGTGATTTTTTGGGAGGGGGTTCTTTTTCATTTTGTTTTGTTTTGTTTTTATGAGACGGAGTCTCACTCTCTTGCCCAGGCTGGAGTGCAGTGGCACGATCTCAGCTTACTGGCACTATCTCGGCTCACTGCAACCTCTGCCTCCCGTGTTCAAGCGATTCTTGTACTTCAGCCTTCCAAGTAGCTGTGTCTGCAGGCATGCACCACCATGCCTGTATATACACACACACACACACACACACACATATATATATATTGTTTTCTTTTTTTTGAGACTGAGTCTCACTCTGTCTTCCAGGCTGGAGTGCAGTGGTGCAACCTTGGCTCACTGCAACCTCCACCTCCCAGGTTCAAGCGATTCTCCTGCCTCAGCCTCCTGAGTAGCTAGGATTACAGGCATGTGCCACCACACCCGGCCAATTTTTGTATTTTTAGTAGAGACAGGGTTTCACCATGTTGGTCAGGCTGTTCTCAAACTCCTGACCTTGTGATCCGCCTGCCTCGGCCTCCCAAAGTGCTGGGATTACAGGCGTGAGCCAGCATGCCTGGCCCAAAAACATTTTTTAAATGGAATTTGAATAGGCATTCCCACAAAGAAAGATATACAAAAAGATATACAGGCCAGGTGTGGTGGCTCACGCCTGTAATCCCAGCATTTTGAGAGGCCGTGGGTGAATCACTTGATGCCAAGAATTTGAGACCAGCCTGGCCAATGTGGAAAAGCCCCATCTCTACTAAAAATACAAAAATTAGCTAAGTATGGTGGTGCACGCCTGTAATTGAAGCTACTCAATGGCTGAGACACAAGAATCGCTTGAACCCAGGAGGCGGAGGTTGTAGTGAGCCGAGATTATGCCAAGACACGGTAACTCAGTTTCAAAAAAAAAAAAAAAAAAAAAAAATATAGAGGCATTCATACAAAAAATACATCTAAATGGAAAGATGCTCAGCATCATTAGTCATTATAGGTAGTATAAACAAAAACCACAATGAGATACCACTTGATACCCATTTGAATGGTTGTACTACAAAACAAAACCAGAATAACAAGTGTCGGCACCAGTTGCAGTGCTGCACACCTGTAGTCCCAACTACTCGGGAGGCTGAGGTGGGAAGATCACTTGAGCCCAGGAGTCTGAGACTGTTATGCCCAGACCGTTTGTTCCCCAAAGAAGACCACCAGAGTCCAATGTCAAAGCCAAGCGGCAAGGATCTTTATTACAAGTTCGAACTTGGTCCCTCCATTCTACAGCATACAAGAGAGGGCCTCGAACAATGCGAGCGTTTGCTTTTTATAGCCCGAAAGTTACAGGGGAACAAAGAAATTCTTTTGGCTCCCGCGCTTTCAGTGGAACCTTGAACGGCTGTCTCCTTATCGGAGGCTTTCCAGGTGGTGTTTATACTGGGCTCAGGGAGTTTGAGAGATATATGGCGATATGTGGTGGGATGGGAGGATGGAATGTGTTTGTACTAGGCTCAGGGAGTCTTGAGCCCGGGGCTAGAGGAATGTGCCCAGCTCCTTTCAAGACCAGCCTGGGCAACATAGTGAGACCCTGCCTTGTAAAACAAACTAACAAACAAAAACAAGTATTGGCAAGAATATGGAAGAATTGGAGCCCTTGTACATACACTGCTGGTGGAAAGGGAAAATGATGAAGCTGCTGTGGAAAACAGTCTGACGGTTCCTCAAAAAATTAAACATAAAATTACCAGGTGACCCAGCAATTCTGCTCCTGGGTATATTCCAAAAAACATTACAAACAGATACCCAAATAAGTACATGGACATACATGTTCAGATGTACTATTTGCCATCACCAAATTGTGCAATCCCAAATGTCCATCAATGGATCAATAAACAAATCTTAGTATTTAATGCCTGTAATCCTAATACTTTGAGAGGCCAATGCGGACGGATCACTTGAGTTCAGGAGTTCAAGACCAGCCTAGACAACCTGGTTGAAACCTCATCTCTACCAAAAAAAAAAAAAAAAAATTAGCCAGGTGTGGTGGCACCAACCTGTAGCCAGCTACTTGGGAGGCTGAAATGGGAGAATCACTTGAACCTGGGAGGCAGAGGTCACAGTGAGCCAAGGTAGCACCACTGCACGCCAGCCTGAGCGACAGAGTGAGACCCTGTCTCAAAAAAAAAAACAAAAAACTTAGTATTTACATAGAATAAAAAGGAATAGATTACTGTGTGAGTTACAATGTGCATAAGCCTCTAAAACATGATGCTAAGTGAAATTAACCTGACACAGAAGGTCACATATTATGTGATTCCGTTTATATAAAATATCCAGAATAGCCAAATCCCTAAAAGCAGAAAGCAGATATGTAGTTACCAGGGGATGAGTAGATAGATATGTAGCTGATGTAGTTATCCAGGGAAGTGGTCCCCAGCCTTTCTGGCACCAGGGGCTGGTTTTATGGAAGACAGTTTTTCCACAGATTGGGGGAACCGGTGGGGGATGGTTTGGGGATGAAACTGCTCCACCTCAGATCATCAGGCATTAGATTCTTATAAGGAGTGTGCAACCTGGATCCCTTGCATGCACAGTTCACAATAGGGTTCTCACTCCTATAAGAATCTAATGCTGTCACTGATCTGATAGGAGGTAGTGCTCAGGCAGTAATGCTGGCTTGCCTGCCGCTCACCTCCTGCTGTGGGGCCCATGGTCCTGGGGTTTGGGGACCCCTGATCCAGGGGATATAGTGGGTTATAGGGAGAAACTTCTTTTTTTTTTTCTTTGAGATGGAGTTTTGCTCTGTTGCCCAGGCTGGAGTGCAGTGGTGTGATCTAGGCTCACTGTAACCTCTGCCTCCTGGGTTCAAGCAATTCTCCTGCCTCAGCCTCCCGAGTAACTGGAACGACAGGCGCATGCTACCGCGCCTGGCTAATTTTTTATATTTTTAGTAGAGACAGGGTTTCACCATATTGGCCAGGCTGGTCTCAAACTCCTGACCTCGTGATCCGGCCACCTCGGTCTCCCAAAGTGCTGGGATTACAGGCGTGAGCCACCGCGCCTGGCCAGGGAGAAACTTCTTAATGGGCACAGGATTTTCTCTTGGAGTGACAGAAATGTTTTGGAACTAGACAGAGGTAGTGAGTGCACAACATTGTGAATGCACTAAATGCCACTAAATTATTCACTTTTTATTTTATTATTTATTTTTTGAGACAGGTGCTCACTGTCACCCAGGTTGGAGTACAGTGATGCAATCGCAGCTGACTGCAGCCTCCCAGGCTCAAGCGATCCTCCCTCCTCAGCCTCCCAGGAGGCTGGGACCACAGGCATGTGCCACCATACCCAGCTAAGTTTTGTATTTTTAGTAGAGACAGGGTTTTGTCATGTTGTCCAGGTTGGTCTCGAATTCCTGGGCTCAAGCGATCCTCCCGCCTCAGCTTCCCAAGGTGCTAGGATTACAGGTGGCAGCCACGGCGCCTGACTAAATTATTCACTTTAAAATGTTAATTTTATGTTTTGTGAATTTCTTCTTAATAAATTTCAGTTCCACATGTAAAAAGCTTGGGAGTTGTGACTCCATCCTAACAACAAGTAAAAAGCTCAACAAACTGAAAATTCAACGCTACTTAGTTAGATCCATAGGAGAAGTGAGGTCACAGGGCAAACCACTGCTGCCATCATCAAAGAGACAGAAATGCAAACACTGAGAACAAAGTACAGAAGTCTTTCCAGGAACCAGTGTCAGAGTCAGGAAACCTGAACTGTAGTTGACAAATTGTTAGAGGCTAGGTGAGAACAAGTCTGAGAGTTAAAAACTTCAGGAGGACCCCATCATATGGGGACCCCATACTTTTGTGAATTTTACCTTCTCGAGAAGAATGCCCTTGAGCTTCCAGCAGGGAGATGGAAATAGGAATCATTCTGAAAGCTTCAGAGCACTGTGCTCTTCTTGGCAAGCTCTGCCCTCGGGAGAAGCTAGTTAACCAGAGCCTAACATTCTGGGGTGTTATCAGAGCCTAACTGAACTAGGAGAAGGGTAAAACCTAATTGTAGCCAGCTCTAACTTCCCATGTGGGAGAAGAGAAATACTCAACTAAAGCTCACCTAGCCAACCATGTGGGAGAAGGCTAGTATCCAATCCCAGCCCACTCTCGCCATCCTTTCCTACCTAAGGGTAGAGAAGAAAATCTGAGAAAAGCTCAGTGACATTCACAGTCCAGAGGCACCGGCTCACCAGAAAAGACTGAGACCTCATTGTAGGACCTCCTCCCACACCTCACCACCGCATCACTAAAGGCATATTTGTAGCAGTCCCTTTTACCCAGTACATCACTTCCAGCTATCAAGAAAAAAATTACAGGGCATGTTAAAAAGCAAAGAACAGTTCAAAGAGACAGAGCAAGCATCAAACCAGACCTGGCACAAGGGATGCTGAAATTATCAGATACGGATTTTTTTTTTTTTTTTTTTTGAGACAGAGTCTCACTCTGTGTCACCCAGGTTGGAGTGCAGTGGCATGATCTTGGCTCACTGCAACCTCTGCCTCCTGGGTTCAAATGATGCTTGTGCCTCAGCCTCCCGAGTAGCTGGGATTACAGGCACGTGCCAGTTAATGCCCAGTTAATTTTTGTATTTTTAGTAGAGATGGGGTTT